GAAAGGGAGGGGGCAGGGGGAAGTGGGGAGAAATGACCCAAACATTGTATGCACATATGAATAAAAGAAATAAAAAAAAAGAAAATGTGGTATTTATACACAATGGAATTTCACTCAGCCACAAAGAAGAATGAAATTTTGTCATTTGTAGGTAAATGGATAAAACTGGACAACATCATCTTTAAATGAAACTAGCCAGGCTGAGAAGGCCAAAAGCTGCATGTTTTTTCTTGTATGTAGAATATAGACCTAATACAAATAGAGCAATATTATAAAAAAAAAAAACAAACTGGTTACACTAAGGGGAGGTCACATACGAGAAGGGTACAGTAAAAGAAGGAAACTTAGAAGATGAATATGGTTGATATACTCTCTATACAAGAATGAATATAGAATTACTAAACCGGTTGAATTAGCCATAACAAAGGGACTAGGTCGAATGAAGAAAAATAGAGGAGATGAACCAATTGGGGTTATAATACATATATACATGGAAATATCACAAGAAAACTCCCTGTGTAGCTACCTTTATCTCAAACAAGCAAAAATGTCATTTTTTCTACAAAATCAGAGAACAGGAGGGTAGAACAGGTTCTGCCCAAGGTGGAGTGGGGAAGATTGTTGGTACCAGTGGGAGGGGGAGGTGGCAGGGAAAGGAGGTAGGAGTGTGAATATGGTACAAAAACTGTGTACATATGTACGTAAATGCAAAAATGATACTTGTTGAAACTATTCCAGGAATGGGGAGGGGATAAAGGAGAGCTTTGGAGAGGGTGAATTCAAGAATGATATATTGTAAGAACTTTTGTAAATGTTACAATGTACCCCCACACAGCACAACAATAAAAAAATATAGTGAGCACTCAATGAATGCTGGCTGTATACATAAACTCACTCTGAAGAGTTTAGTCTTTAGTCTGAAAGGCTATGAAGAGTGAAAGGTTTATATCTGTGTCTAAATTCTGCTTTAGCTGCAGTGCAAGAGAGGAATTAGAGGGGAAAAGATGGGAGACAAAAGCCAATTTGGAAGCTGTGCAGGAATCTAGGTGAGTACACACACACACACACACACACACACACACACACACACACACACACAGACACACACAAGGAAAAACAGTGAAAGCTAGGGTAGGAGGAGGGAATGGGGAAGTGTTTGTTTTAACAGAGTTGGTATGTATATCCATGAAGTCATTCCAGTTAGCTAAGGTAAAGTTCAGGGGGCACACCTAAGTTTACACGCAGACCCTGTCAATTCTGATACACATACTCATTTCTCTCATGGCACTACAAAGCCTTCCAACTACATTTGCATCAAGATACTTGAAAAGAATGTCACTGTAACTGGTAATAGTTGCTTCTTAAGGAACTCTACAAGTGAACTGTTTGTAAAACTCAGAAGTGCAGCTCTCTAAAAGAGTTAGGTCCAGTTCTGGAAAGATCTGGAGCCTCTGGTGGCCAAGCTGGCCTTGAATTGTGGCTTTCTCTCTTGAAACTAACTGAAAATCCTTAATCAAATTACCTCACCATTCTCAATATGTTTCTTCACTAATAAAACTAGTATCATAACATGGACTGTACACACAAGCTATGAAGATCAGATAAAATACTGAATCTTAATGGGTCTACAAGTACTTGGCACAAGTATTAGCCCCTACTTCTCCAGTAGGCTTCAGAAGTAATACAATTTCATTTTTATATGCTATGATAAATTATAGTTATCACTTCTATATACAACTTTCTTATTTGCTGATGGACTACTTGAGTGACTTCTTTCTTGCCTGGCCCAGTGTAACTGATCAAAAATTCCCTGTCACATCATAGAATGAGTGAATGAATGAAGGGATGAGCTCACTATCTCTATAACCTACACAATAGTGTATACACTGCAAGCTACTTATAACCTACGTATGGAAGACTGACTTCCATGTGTGACTTCCTGAGGCTAGGCCCACACTGAGTAGCCTAGGGAGGAGGTACATAGGTCACTCACAATGCATAAACTCTAAGATTTTAAGAGTAAATAACAAGTTACTGCATTGCAACTCTGTGACTCAAGTTCCTAAGTTCAAGTTCTGGGTTAAAACAATCTCAAGGTAACCCCACATCTGTGCCAATTGTCTCAGACAGTCAATGCCAACACAGGGGCAGCATAGGAAATGATTTAGCCTTCCTTACCCAATGCCTCCTCCAATAAAATGATTCCAAATAAGTGAGAGAAAAGCAGGTGGAGGGAGGGCATGGCCAAGGTCACACTGGAAACATGCTTCAGCACCTGGATGCAGTAAATGCATGGGGTGATGTGCTGTGGGAAAAGTCTGGGCAAAATGTAACGACCTTTGCACAATTATTCTGGTGAACTGCCAAGCACGGGACAATCCTTGATGAGTACTCAGTGGTACAACTAAAATCAATCACCCATGAGAAGGGAGGGTGTACCTTTCAAACAAAAAATGCTTATTGGTGAAATGAAATGATGTGAAATGAGTGAATAATGAGTCTAACTCTCAGTCAAACGAAACTGCATGGGCTCTAGAGTCAGAAAAAATCTTATCCTATTGTTCCTTCATTTTAAAGATAACCAGATGAAGATTTTTAAAAGTGCAAATCTAGTCTCATACTGGGAATGAAGGATTTGCTTTGTAAATGGAAGGTCTGTATTTAAAATAAGACAAAATAACACTTTTTCACATCTATAGTCTTTGTATTTCTTTTTCTTGTCTTTTATTCCCCTTTATTTTTTTTCCTCTCTTCCCTATTTCTTTTCCATACTCTTCAGCTATAGCTGGTGTATTTATGACTGTGTCCATACTCTGAACAATGTACTACTGGGGCATCCACATTCAGATGTGGCTTATTAGAGAAGATGTATAAAAAAAGATATTGCTTCCTCTTAGAGATCCTTGTGAAACAACAATGTGTTTGAAAACCAGAGAGCAGAACCAGAATTAGTAAACTACATGGAAGGCAAGTAACAAATGAACCATATGAAAAGGCCATTGGATAGTGGGTCAGGAATCTCTCCAGGCTGGGATGGCCCCCTGAGTTTCAGATGTCCATCTGTAAAAGTCAGATAATAACTTTTCTTATCTCATATGAACTTTGAGAGGATTGAGTGAAATAATACTCTAAAAATCCTTAGAATTGAGACTGGGAAATAAGTTTTCAAAATAATATTAGTCACTATGATTATTATTAACAGCATTCAAGGTTTAACAAGATTATATATCCCTCCCACAGAAAGATATTCAATAAGCTTTAATTATTATTATTATTAATATTGCTATCCTCATTATTATTCTCATTCTACCTCCTTGTTTTATAGCTGGCTTCTGTCTCTTTTAGACTAATACTTTAGAAGGCAGTTTGCTTCGCTCTTGATTCAGATTTGTCCTATCATGACAGCTTTTGGATTTCTTAAGATTTTGCCCTCTGTAATCCATGGATCAATTACACACCAGGACTATCTGATAAAAGTATATATGTAGAACTGCCCAAAGTGAAGCTCTAGATGCAGCTTCACTGGTTGTTAGTGCAAAGATAGCAGAATAAAGGCTAACAATTCCTATGACTCTTACCAAACACTATAATTATGTATAATTATGTATTATGAAGATTCTTTAGTAACAACAAAAAGAGAGATCAATTTTTATTAAAATTTGGGCTCATGAAACAGGCATAATCTATTGTTCACAAATATATATCACAACATTTGATTAAGATGGCATATGTCCATAGTGATAGGGGAAACTTCAAGCCAAATACTAGAAATGATATTTAGAACCATACAGATGTCCAATTTGCATAAAAAGTCTCTTAAAACCTGGTGATGGACAGGTTCATGAACAATGAATCCTAAGCACAGGCCTCGCTTACTTAATTTTGATTCTTGTTTAAAAATCTTCTGGACTGTATTGTCCTATTTTGGGAACACTAAGGGTGATTATACTATGATGTGAGGTTGAAAAGGGGCTATATTTCAGTAATAAGGTCTTCAATGTGTCTTTTTGGTTTTATACTAGTGCATTATAGGCAGCACTAGTATAAATAGGAGAATATAAGGTGGGCCTCATTCTCACTGGACTTTAGGCAAATATGGCTAAACTTTTCTAGCACAGATTTTCAAGACTAGTCAGAAACTATTTATTTCATATTCACAGGGCTTCCCTACCATAGCATGAGCCTTAATACCAGAGACTGAGGAGATTTGATTCATTTATTTTATTTCTATAGCATGGGCACATCCATCTAAATTTACACTTATTTTGAGAGAGAACTTGAGGTAGGTAAATATAGGGTAAAAATTCACTTAAAAAATGAAAACTAATGGTTGCTTGCATCCCTAACCAGCTTTGGATCAGATCGTTTTTGAATGTGACTAAACATTTAGAAGAGTTGGGAGGAGACCCAGACTATAAACAGGTATTTCCAACTAATAGTAACTGTGAGATTAGTTAGCTGAACCCAGGTCTCTTTTCCCTTGTGTTCCTCATCCAATCTCTCAGAACCCCTACCAATCTGTTGATTTCAATTCACAGTCATCATTGCTACTATCCTCAAACTTTCAGACTTTCTGTATGGGAACCAACTTACCAAAAGTGGTCTCCCTTCCTTTGGCCATGTACATGAAAGATATGATGTGCCCAGAAAACTGTTTGAATCATGTCTGAAAGGCTATGGGGAAACACTGAAGAATTTGGACAGGCAAGTAACTATGTTGTTTCACAAAACAGAATATCACTATCACTTCCACGAGAAGTGGGTGGTACGGGAAAAGATCAGGTGAGGAGGGATGATCACCACTGCCTGGAGCAGCATTTATTTCTTTAGCAAACTCTATTCATATACCATGTGTTAGACTTTACATTAAGATAACATTAACTCTGACTTTAGAGCCTACAAACGTTCCAGATGATGTATAACATATGAGTAATGTGACAAAGCTGGCTAGTCAGTGGTGTAACAACATTCACAACCCTAATGAAAAACTGTCAACTTACCAATTTTCCAGTAACGCTCTGACCACCTTCATTCAGCCAGAACCCAGGGACCATGGCTGAGAAATAAGGCCCCCAGATGCCTGGCACAAAAATTGGATCTTTGCTGATCTGAAAAAAAAGGGGGGTAAGACAAAGTATATGAAAATACTGACCCATAGGGCTAGAGGAAACCTTATCCTCCTCACACCTAATGTTTTCATGACTGTGGTGTTCAGCTTCTTTATTAAATACTTTCTACTATGGAGAAGTCATTCTCTTCTGAGGAAGGTCTTCTGAAACCTTTCTGATAAATTCATTTAGATATCAAGGTAGCAAAAGTTACCATTTTGAAAGACAATGATGAGAGACATTTACTTGTTAGATCCTTCTGTCTGGCAGAGATTACAAGATTGGTATCCATTCTCTACCCTTTGCAATGAGACTTTGCAGCACCTCCCTTTGAGAGATGGATCTATTTCTCAGCCTCTTGAATCTGCGCCAGCTTTGTGTCTTGTTTTTCCAAGAGAAAGAGGCAGAAATGACACTGTGCGAGTTTCGGCCTAGGCCTCTGAGAGCTGTGTGCTTCGTTTTCTTCCCTTCCTCTTCTGCCTCAGCCATATAATATGCCCCAAATGAAAAGACATGTGCAACACAGCTGACAGTCTAGTTGTCTCAGGGGATGTCCCAGAAATATGACAATGTTAAGATAAGACCAGCAAATCCTCCAGGTTGAACAAAAAATTGTTTATCCTAGACCATCAGAATTAACAGACAGACTTGTAAACAAAAACATACCTACTTTTATATGTTACTAAGATTTTATGTTTGATACCTAGCATTTTTATGACAATAGATGGCCAATACATTTCTTTCCTTTCAAAAACATTCACTAGCCACTTATTAGCATGCCCTCTGGTTCTGGGAACATATACAGGAATCAGACAGAAATCCTCCTTTCAAGAAGTTTCTATCTAGGGGGGAGTTACAAAAATATTTAAACAAATAGACTATGGTGTGGTCCATAGAATGTTAAAGACAAAACAGCATGTTGGAAAAGAGACCTAGTGGGTGATGAGTGTGTTGAAGAAGAGCAAAAATAGAGGCCACTATTTAGATAAATGCCCCAAGGCCAACTACTCATAACTAAGTAGCCAAAACTTAAGATAACTTGGTTTTCTCCTAATGCTAACTCTAATCATAAGCAAAACACAGAATGTAAACTTTGCATCCTTGTCAGCATGCTTCAGTGAAAATAAATCAATCAGGTATAGGCAACCAGATTAAATAGTTCTATTTCAAATAAACAAATAAATAAATAAAAGTAAAAATGTTCACATAATAGCCAACCAGGGAATAGGTCAAAGTGCTTCTTCCTAGGGCTGGCAGAGTGGTTCAAGTGGTAAGAGTGGCAAGCGTGATGCCCTAAGTTCAAACCCCAATGCAGTGTACCCCTGCCCTGAAAAAAAAAAAAAGAGTGCTTTCTTTTTATGCTTTCTAAACTGCACTGTAGCTGCAAAATGTGAGCTTTTTACTATGTGGGATGAAGTCTCACTGATCACAAATTGTGCTTTTTGTTTGACAATAAACTTTTTGCCTATTTTATTCTGATTTTTAGATAGGTGGAATGGTACGGAGGCGGCTTCTTCCAGGAAGGAACACAGGCTTAGTTTCAAAAGAGTAGCAGGAGTTAGCTAGATGAAGTGGAATGCATTTGTGAATAAATCTCCATGGGTGAGAGGTACTACCATGTTATGTGTAACAGACCATTACAGTCCCTTTAAGTATAGGGAAATGAGCCAGGACAGGTTGCAAATGGCCCTGTATTCACTCATGTGCAATGGTATATGCTTATTCTCCATCCAGCAGTTAGTCAGATGTACAGTGGTATAAAGTTTTCTCCAGAGGGTGGGAAGTAAAAGTGAGTTAGGCATACTAGGTCTACCCCATCAGGTCTTGAAGCAGGGTAGAGATATGTTCTTTTATTTATTCAACAAATAATTATTGGTAATATGCTAGGCTCTAGAGTGGGAAAGTGAGCCGAATGGCCATAATTTCTATGTTCACGAGTTTTATAAAGGTCTAGGACTTTAGCATGGAAATAGACTTTAATTGTCTTGATGCCAAGTATTCTGGTTCTTTTTTTACTAAACTAGTGATTCTTCAATCAGTAGGGTTTCTAACCTCCAAATGGAAAGGGAGTAAAGGAAGGGAAGGGAATTTTATAACACTGTCAACTTTAAATGTTGTCAAATAAGGGCATTTTATAAAAATGTGGAGATGGGGGTGGTAGAATTTAATACCTAAAATAGGAAGGATAATCTCGGGGGGAAAATACAAACATTTATAAGAAAAGACAGCTCAGCTTACATTGATGTACTCTTTTTTTCTTTTACTGGTTTAACAGATGTTTCCTGAGTTCCCACCATAATCCAGATGTGTGCCAGGCACTGGAGATAAACACTCACTTAGGTTAGGCCAGGACTCTACCAGTTTTAGCACTGAAAGTCTTGTGTCCCAAAAAATGCCCCCAGTCCCAGTCAAACAATTGGTCACCCTGAAACAAGCATTAATTAAATCCTCATACACATGCACAGTTACAAATTCTGATAAGTGAGTAGAAGAAAGCCAAAAGGTATCCTGAGAGCACAAAAATGAGGTACATAATCTAGTCTAGGGGTCAGGGAAGGCTTTACTGAGGAGGTGATATGAGAATTAAGATGTAAAACATATACAGAATTTACTCAGGTGGCTAAGTGTGATGTATTTGTGTGTGTTTGTGTGTGAGAAAGAGTGAGAGTGTTCCAGCTACTAACTGGTACTCATTTTCACCACTCTGCCTTTGCCTGGTAAAAATTTTACCACATGCCAATCCTAAACTGGATTCTAGGGCTTCTGTAGGTTGAATAAGATAGTTCATATTCATAACCACTCAGAAGCCAGAGTTTGGACAGGTAGATGGACACCCACCAAAGTCAAATCATTTCTTTCTGTGCCCTGTACCACTCTACCTTCCAGAATTTTCAACCCCATCTGATAGGTTAGACTCAGAAAGGATGTTTAAGTTGTCCATGGTCACACAGCTAGTAAATGGCCAAGATAATACTTGAACCAAGGTAGATAGGGACCTTAAACTCCTGGATATGCTTTTTGCTCCCCCACAGATTGCTTAGGAAGTATACACATCACCCCTGCCTCCTATCCCTGGTTCCGCAACTTAAGGATGTCACTGAATCAGCTTAACTGGACTTTACTACAGGACTGTGCCTCTGCTGCTTATCAATGTCCAGTGGAGGCTTTGCTTGACTCTGTCCAGGGAGACAGTTTTGAACTGGCTCTTATTTGTGCTCACTCATCTGGCAAGGCACATGCTTCTCATCAGACATTGCCAGTAAAGCAAGGAAACAAAGAGTACTTCCAGTCACTCCCAAACCCTGCACTCATGGAGGAACGAGTAACAGTTTGTTTTAAGAAGGAGAGAGAGTGCACATTTGTATATTTATGTATTCTCTAATCCTTTGCAGTAAACCTAAATATTTGGAAATTTTTTTTTTGGAAAGCTCCTTCCATGCTGATGGCTATCTTGGCCTGGAGGCTGCTCTGTGACCCCCCAAAAGGATGCTCATTGCACCACACTAACAACAGGTGTCCGTATAGGACCCTGGCTTCCCAGTGCTAATGGTGCTGCTGGCAAAGCAGGAACAAAGACAGACTGGGGACTTAGTACAGGCCTCCCTCAAAGCACAGTACTGCTATTATATCACCCAATCCCCACAATCCTGAGGGAAGATGTCATTATTCCTCTAGTAAAGATGTACAAATGGAGGCAGAAAACATTAAATAACATGTATCCAGTGTTAGGAAAACACAAAGGCCTAAAGGTTCCATACTGCCTTTACCAAATTATGGTCTTGTTATTAGGTTACCATTGGTTCTTTGAGCCCTTTGATAGAAAGCAAGGCCATTCAAGCCAACAGAGTAAAATGAATAAGACGCCCTGGCCTTGAATACAAGTAGGTTATGTGATCTTTATTTCCAAAAGACTTGGGTAAGTTTTCCCTGATACACTTGTGAACAGCAATGGAGAGAGCATAGGTCAAGACAAAATCCACCTTGAGTCTATTCCTGACTCAGCCACATTCTAAATAGGTGATCTTATGCAAGGTAGCTTTTCTGAGCTTCAGTTTCCTCCAGTCCAAAATGGGAGAAATGATATGTCTGTTGGATGACTCTTGAACTATGTAAGGAAAACTCTAGATTTGTTCTTGGTCTTATTTTAGTTAATGTTCTTAATAATGATATATCAGTGGTATGAAAATAAAATTATGTTTTCAGATGCTATAACTTAGACGGACTACTTATTATTATGGGACATGTCCAAATCAAAATTAGTCAGAATTAAAATGATCTGGAAGAACTAGAACACTAAGCAAAATTTAGTAAGAAATCACTTAATATCTATCTGACAACATAATGAAATTTTACAGTACTGGAAATATTCTCTTTTATAGGCTGGATAGCAAGTACATGAGTATTCATTTTAGTATTGATATTTAAATTATACTTAGACATTTGATATACTCATTAATCATATGTAATATAAATAAAATTATAAAAATTCCAACAAAATGAAACATGTGCCAAACACTAAGATCAACAAGGTTGTAAAACTAATAGGCAAAATAATAATAATAACACATCAATATGACCCCCAAACTCAAGGAACTCCTAATCTGACAGGGCAGATAGGGTAGAAATAAAAAAATATTGAAACCAAACATGACAAGTGCTATAATGAGGTAGTAGATAAGTCTGGTAGGAGTCCAGAAGGAGGAGCTACCTGGAGGATAGTGAGCACTCCATAGAGGTGGCCACCCAGAAGCTGGGCATTGAATATAAAGTGTTGGGTAGGAGGGAGACAGTCTCAGACAGAAAAGCTCAGTATCTTGAACCTGCATATTCATTTTGATTTCATGAGTGCTTAGTTTTAGGGCTGTGCTAAAGGTATGTAAAACCCTACAGTACATGCCCAGTATAAAACTGTAATAACATACACATTAAAAATAATGACTGAGCCAGGGGCCAGTGTCTCATACCTGTGAGATCAGAAGGATCGTGGTCTGAGACCAGCC